GCAACTCCATTCAAACTCTCCTTGGTAACCCTAAGGATAAAATTCCATTCTTAGAAAAGTCGGGGATATATGAAATTAGTTGTAATGACTGTAGTAAAAAATATATTGGACAAACTAGACGTTCAATCAAAACCAGATTTAAAGAACATCTAGCTCATGCTAGGTTTGGTAGAGAAGAAAAATCTAGTGTTGCCCAACATATTCTTACTGATGGACATAATATTAATATTAATAACCTTAAGTTAGTTAAAGAAGTTAGGAATAATCGTTTACTAAACAGTTTTGAAAGTTTATACATTTATAAAAATAAACAAATTGTTCTTAACAATGACAACGGTCCCATCCCTGGATCTCCGCTATTTAGTTTAGTTTAATTACGTTTATGATGATGATGTTAAGGTCCATTGAACATCTACCTTGTTGGCTTCGGGTCATGTTCACTGAACCTTAACAACTATCAGTATAAATTAGGATTAGTTCTCATTTAGGTTTAGTTTACTTCAGTCCCTGAAGAAGGTATTTTTTTTAGCGAAAAGTGCTTCGGACAACTACAGTGTCGTGTTTTGGCGTTGGGGTTTTGAGCTATTCTGTTTGTTCTATAATATCCAGTGGTTTATTCAAAGGTAATAAAAAGGTTATTTTCATGAAAAAAAAAAGTATTCTAATTTTTTTTGTAGTTGTTTTTACCTCTATATTGCAGTTGTAAAATTAACTGTATGTTGGGTTGCCTACTTATAATACTTACGTACAAGAAATGGTAGTTTAATTGTTATTAAAAAATAAACTAACATCCCAACTGTGTGTATGTACGATAAATACAATTTAAAGATGATAATTCATCAATCTGCTTCAATGAAACTGGAATTATAACTCTTATAGCACAATTATAACCTTTGTTTGAAATTGTCCCGGCACCTCCACCAAAATTTTCAATAAACATTTTTAGTAAATACTTGCTGATAACATTTGTGTATACTTTACAATATTCACCATCCATAACGATCATCATCGAATGTAAAATTTGATCATTTTTACATGCGAAAAAAAATATCATTATTAAAATAAATTATTCAATAAATGAAAGTTTTTAGTAATTTCAAAAGTATTTGAAAACTTTCATTTTATATGAAGAATTGCTAAACAAACTAATCGGAAATTTTATTATTATTTGTTTATTTATTTATTTTAAAGATCAATAGGCACAAGACCTAATCAGAAACAATTTAAAATCATTACAGATTCTGCTGTAATATTGTAAAAACAAAATAGAAATTTTATAGGCATAGGAAAAACATGAATTTTTGGCAAGTAGTAGATCAAACGAATAATAATTAATTAATGTCCACCAAAAATTAAATTTTTGAGTTATTTAATGAAACTGTCCCATTTTTGTTGAGATATTTTTTTATGGTAGTTTGAATTTGTAAACAATTTTGTTATGCTTTTTCGATATTAGCAAACAAAATTTGCCTTATCGAGAACTGCTCACATCAAGTTTCTAAGAATTACTTGAAAAATAAAGTTTTTAATCGTCGATTGCCGTGCTCATTGAGTGTAAACGGAATAATTTATGTTTTGAATAATACGTGTTATAAAAAAAATCGTAGCTACAAATACCTTCAACCATTTTTTCATATCAATAGTAAAGTCCAATACCGTTGAGAGATATTACGTTTTGTTCTAAAGAAAATCAAAAGAAGTTGAAATCCGAAGCCGGCCCTGGACGTGAATAGGCAACGTATAGAGAAATTGCTATAACAAGTAAGCAACTAAATGGATGAAAAATGTAAACTGTGGCGGTTGTAGAACGACTAATAAAGTAAATATCAGCAAACACCCTGTATAAACAGCCTATCTGTCGCCTGTATTACATTATTTTGAAATAAAAAGACACCTAGCGTCCTCTATAATCCAAAACAAACACTATCGAGCTTAAAAATAATTTTAATTATTTTAATGTATTTTATGTTAAATTGTGGAGCACCCTGTACACAGTAACAACAATATTACATGCACTATTAGTATATCACTAAATTTGTTGATAACTTGTCTAGACTGTTTAGGTCCCAATTATTATTATTATTATTGTGTTTTTCTTAAAGGTTTTCCATGTAATAACGAGACGCCAGATCTTCCAGTCTAAACAGGCTTATCGGTTGAAATTTCACGCTCTATTTGCCTTCCCAAATTGTTAGCAATTAAAATTCGACAGTTTTATTCGTTTTTATTTTTTATTTATCGCGTAAACGTAATGTAAACATATTTTGCGGATGTTCAATATTTATTGCTACTGTTGTTTGTTTTTCGTTTCTTATTTACTTAGATGTACAAATTTAAACAGCGTTTATAACTTTGTAATATTAATAGCAAATTGCAATATTTGTTAGAAATTATTTGTCCAATTTCTTTACAGTTAGCTTTTTTGTATAGTTTTAGTGGCTCGTTAAATTTTGAACTTCTTCCGTATTGTATTTATTTCTACAAAAAATGAAATAATATTAATTTAACTTATATCTAATGTTGCCTTGCAGTTGTCCTAATTGAGTATACGAAGAGTCCTGAAGTGTCCCACCCTGTTAAGAAAAACAGCCAACAACAAACAACTTAACATGATACAAAATCAGAACATTACATCATTCGAAAAATTTTTGCATTAATGATCACATTTGTTCAAACGCCCTGTACAGCAAATAATCATATTAACCGTAATTAACAACATGCCTTGAGCTAAAACTGGCGAAGCTATTAGTGTAACATTTGACGTCACAAATTGCCGGAGTGCATAGGCTCGAACAATAGCATTGCTAAGGGAAGGTAACTTTTTACAGATTTTATTGTTAAAAAATGCTCAACTAATTGCTAAATCGAGTAAATGAACATGTGCTCAAATGTATCACATCAAGAAATATACAATTTACTTTTTGGAATGGATATTCACTTTTTTAATTGATTTTTACTAATACGGTTAATAATTGGAGAATTATTCTGCTACGCCTGTGGTTTTTGCCCACAAATATAGCGTCATCAATGATAGTGAATGGTTGCTTCGTGTTCGTACTATGGGTGATTCTAGGCGGGCATGGCTCCTTTTTTGATTTCTTTAAAATCTATGAATTACATTTTGATTGTTCACATTTTGAAAAGAGGTTTTTCGATTCAATTATACTGCAAACCGATGAATTGATAAAACTTACAATACTTTTATGAAGATAGTAGAAAAAATGTTAGGTATTAAATATCTGTAAGATTCATCTACATACTTTTCAAAAGCGTATATCTTAATGTTTGGATAATGGCACTATTCGCAATCTAAAGGAATACTTAACCGATCCTAGAAAGAAAAAATACAAACTTAAATTATCATCACTCTAAATTTTTATTATTTAAGAAGTCAACATAGGTCAGTTCACTCCGTTCATTCAACATATTCACAGAAACAAAATCATATTTAACATATTTTAATGTTAATGTGCATTGAAAGGTGAGGCGCCGGCCTATTTACTAATAACTATCAAACCATGCCTTGAGTTAAAAGTAGCGAAGCCATAATTAGTTTGTCGTGACGTCACAAAATGTCAAAGTACATAGGCTGGAACCAGTTTATACTTAAGGAGAGCTAGTTATTTTACACATTTAATTGTTAAAAAGTGCTTAAGTAACTGTTCAATGAAGTAAATTAGCATGTAATTAAATCTACCATATTATAACAGTGTTTGGTTTGCTTGTTGAAATGGATACCCTTAAAATTAACTAATTTTTAGTAGTAGAGTTAATTATAATTGCAAATCATTCTGCTACGCCTTTGACTTTTGCCCACAATTAACATCATCACCGATGTCAAATTGTTGCTTCTTGTTTATCCTGTGTGATTGGGCACGGGCATGGCTACTGTTTTAATTTTGTAGCTATAGATAACATTGTTATTAAATTAATTCACAGAGTGATAAAGTTTTTTCTAGTCACTGGGACAGTAAATCATTAAAATATTAATTTTATTAAAACTATACTAGAAGAGGACATTTAACTATCTATCTACTTTCTCACATCTTAACAAATGAATAAGCAAACTATTTGCATTCTTATGGAGTACTTAACCAATACTATAAAGATAAAGTATTTAAAGTATCATTTAATTACTCTATTAATGATTATTTAAGAAATTACAATAGTTTGATTCACGCCATTTATACATGTATAACATACTTTAATCCTTTGAATAGCATAGCAACACGAGATACAAATATTCAAACCGAATAGTTTTATCATTCACAATATTTTAAATGCATTTAACATTAATTTAATATATATAAAATCTTGAACTATTGCAATGTCGATGAAAAACATCGATAAGGTACGACTTAGCGTGATATTATAAAAACTCAGAATACATCCATTATTCAAAGTTCATTTAAATTAACGGTAACGTTTATTCAAACGCCTCGTACAGTAAAATTGTATTAACTCTAAATAACAACATGCCTTCAGTTTAAACTGGTGAAGCCATTGTTATCAACATGCGACGTCACAAATTGTCTAAGTACATAGGCTCGAACAATTACATACTTAAAGGAGACTATCTTTTTTATAGATTTTGTTGTTAAAAGTTGTTTAAATAACTCAAAAATCAGGTAAATCGACATGCACACAAATAGATCACATTTGGTCAATATTCGGTGTGTTTGTTGGAATAGATATTCTTATACTTAATTGATTTTTGATGGTATATTTACATCATAATTGCAAATGATTCTGATACGCCTTTGATTTTTGCCCACAAGTAACGTCATAACTGATGTCTAAATGTTGCTTCTTATTTATCCCATGTGTGGTTGTACATGGGGCATGGCAACCGTTTTTTATTTCATAGCTATGGATAACATTCTTATTAATTCACAGATTAATAAAGTTTTTTCGAGTCAATGGCACAGTAAACCATGAAAATATTAATTTTATGAAAACTATACTAAAAAAGGACATTTAACTGTATGTCTACTTTCGAAATTTTCATATCTTAATAAAATGATCAAACTATTGGCATTCTGATGGGGTACATAACCAATGCTATAAAGAGAAAGTATTAACTTACATTAACATTTAATTACTCTAAATATTTATTAATGATTATTTAAGAAATTACAATAGTTATGCATGTATTTTGGTCTTTTGTGTAGCATAGCAACACGAGATACAAATTTTCAAATCGGATAGTCTTATCATTCCGAATGTTTTAAATACATTTAATATTAATATAGTATATGAAAAATCTTGAAGATGTCCTGCGATGTCGATAAGATACGACTTGGAGTGATATTATAAAAACCCAGAATATTGAATATTCATTATTCGAAGTTCTTTTAAATTAACGGTAACGTTTATTTAAACGTCTTGTACAGTAAAATTGTATTAACTCTAAATAACAACATGCCTTCAGTTTAAACTGGTGAAGCCGTTGGTATCAACACGTGACGTCACAAAATGTCCAAGTACATAGGCTCGAACAACTACATACTTAAAGGAGACTACCTTTGTATAGATTTTGTTGTTAAAAGTTGCTTAAATAACTCAAAAATCAGGTAAATCGACATGTACACAAATGGATCACATTTGATCAATATTCGGTTTGTTTGTTGGAATAGATATTCTTATACTTAATTGATTTTTGATGGTATATTTAAATCATAATTGCATATCATTCTGCTACGCCTTTGATTATCGCCCACAAGTAACATCACAGATGTTAAATGTTGCTTCTTGTTTATTCCATATGTGATTGTACACGAGGCATGACCACGGTTTTAATTTCATAGCTATGGATAACATTCTTATTAATTCACAGAGTAATAAAGTTTTTTCGAGTCAGTGGCATAGTAAACCATTAAAATATTAATTTTATGAAAACTATACTAAAAAGGACATTTAACTGTGTCTACTTTCCAAATTCTCAGATCTTAATAAATAAATGATCGAACTGTTTGCATTCTTATGGAGTACCTACTTAACCAATACTATAACTTGTTGGAATGGATATTCTTATACTTAATTGATTTTTGATAATATATTTAATCATAAATTGCAAAATAATTCTGCTACGCCTATGCTTTTTGCCCGCAATTGACATCATCTTAGGTGTTAAGTAATTGCTTCTTGTTTACATCCCGCCTGATTGTAAGTGGACATGACTACTGTTTTAATTCATTGTGATAACACAATTTTATTCATTCACAAAGTAATCAGTATAATAAATGGAAATTAACTTTAAACCACAAATTCAAATCCACACTTTGTAAAAATAAGTTTCTTGAGGCAGACGTAGCAAACCGCTAAAATGTTAATCTTAAAAAAAACTATACTAAAAAAGGACATTTAACTGTATGTCTACTTTCGAAATTTTCATATCTTAATAAAATGATCAAACTATTGGCATTCTGATGGGGTTTTTAATCGTAAATATATTTTATTTTTAATGTTTTGAGTTATTTCGGGTTCACTTAAGAGAATGTCTAATTCAGTCAGATTTCACGGATTTCGTGTCAAATCATCTCATCAGCGGGCGTACTGGCGCCTCTCACTAATGATGAAGCTGTCAGTAGCATATTCTAGAGTTTAAAACCTTGTAGCCGCCATCTTAGGTGTTGGTGCGTAAATCCCTTTAGCGAAAACTAACCTTACAATAAATATAAATAAAATATCGATAGGACCGCTGTCACCCAGATGGCCAAACAACGCACCTCTATGATAGATACTTGCTTTTTTCGAAACTTTACACAAAATTGTACGTATTAATATTGAAAATATTTTAGCATCTAGTACATCAACATGAGGGATCTATATATGCCTAGCCACTGTTGCTTATGACGTTTCACCTTTTAATGAAATATTTTTGTTGTCATCTTTCGACTAGGTTAATCGATGAGAAAAAATTTAATGAAACCATAACTTGTAATGGTTTTATTGTAAAATTGGTCGTTTCTTAGTCATAAAAAAACATCTAAATTTTAAAAACTAATAAACTAACAAAATTGCATCTCAACTAAAAAATGTCTAAAAACCTTATTTTTTTATCGACGAGCTATTGGGGTATGATTTTGTAAGATGTTTTTTGTTGAATTTGGATATACTTGTTAGAGAATTTTGTTTTGTAATTGTTGAAATTTTTTCAAAAACAAATCTATTGTCCAAAAATACTTAATCGTTTGAAATTTTCACTAAATAACTATTAGCAGTTTTTCTTAACTACATTTCTTGAAACACTATATGTGTAACAATATTTATTTTATATTACTACGAAATACTGAACCGAATAGCCATTACATTTAAAAAATCTGATTCAACAAATTGTGTCTGGTGAAATGAAAATGGGAAAAGGGGGAAAACTTAGAATTTAATATCCCAAAAATCATTTTTTTTCTTAATATTTTGGTAATATGTTTTCCAGAATTTTATGCTTTGTAATTTGCGAGATTTTCTTCAAAAACAGATTCGCTTTTTCCAAAAATAATCGTTTAGAAATTTCCTTACCCCATATCCTTCTGGTTTTCAACACATATCCGCAGATGTTAGTTTTTTTAGGGGCGATGTCTTTCAATTCAATAATGTCCAAGAACTCTTTCGTAATTGCCGGTGTTTTTGAAAATATTTGTCCACAATTCGTTTCTAAATTCGAGGGGGGGCTGTTGTTGTGCACTTCGCGCAAATAATCGAGACTGGGGTAAATTTTGGCCATAATAACCCGTTAATTAATGAATTAATAAGTGATTCAAAACAATAAATCAAAGCTAAATCCGCACTTTTCATTCACACATCAACTCGCGAAAGTCAATTGACTTTTCTTGCTGTTACCAATCGACTGTAAAAGCATTAATGAAAGAAATTATCTTTATTCTTGATTATATTATTAGCGGAGAGTAAGTTGAAATGTTATCATGGACATGTTTGTACATACACACATGCCTACATGTATAATGACGGAATTTTATCAATTAAAAGAAAGTTTAGTTAACACGTTCGGTGCATGTTCGGAAAATGACATAACAATTCCATATACGAGAGCATGCTCAAAAAAATGGTTATTTAATTCATTTTTTTCGTTAAGATAGCAAGTTCTTCACCCCTATTAATTCACTTTTGTGACCAATTTGTTTAATCACTTTATTTGTGTTAAAAATTGTTCGAAAAATTAAATTTAAAGGAATTGTTTGTAAATAGGTATGCAACACATCATACACTTCAGCATAAGAAATTGCTGATACTAACTACGTAATACTACTTTGCCCTCTGCTGACAGCACTCATAATTT